ATTCTTTGTGAATTTGATATGGTGTACAGATGTTTGAATAAGCGTTAAAAATTACGCTCTCACTCTGACTACTGGTTAAATTAAGTTTCTGTTTCTTGCGTAGGTATTTAAAGAACATGATTATATTTAGGCTGGTTTTATTATAACACGAACCATCCGCGCTGACGACTACTACGCTCGGCTCGATACTGTAATGCTCGCGGAAGGCAGAGGCGTGCCTGCGATAATAAGCGCTAACCGCGGCGCCAACGCTCGTCAGCGCTGAACGGTCAGCATAACTATAGAATACTGCTACCTATATAGAGGCCAAAGATATTGGCTTGCCAGCGCCGAAGGTCAGCGTGATACTAAAACCAGCCTTACTAGTTATTTGGAGAAATCGCTGTTCTAATTATGATGGGGTGTTATGGGGTGACATTAATATTTTATTATACTCGTAGTTACAAACTATTTAATGATAATATACTTGTAAATTAATATTATAAAGCCATCATCAGAATGGCATAATTGACAAACACTGTATTAATAAATTAAACGATATTAAAACGGTTTCATCGCGTTTCTATTTAGTTTTATTGACTTTTCGGACCCTTAACAGGTTCCGTGTTCACATAACTTGTAAACTAAATACAAACGAGATGAAACCGTTTAAAAGTTGTTTCATTTATTAATAAATACTGTATTGTTCAAGAGGTAAAGTGTGTACTTTCAACATTAGTTGGAATCAAATTAATTCAACTTTCAATACAATACAAATACTTACTGAGTGAATTTGTGGCCAAAAGTAAGCCAATGTGGTTACGTGGTCGGTAGGCCTACAAATCCGATTATCCAAACTTGCATATTTGTACCTACCAATCACGGGTATGTATAATAACCTGCGTATCCGATTATTTTTCGTTATTTAAATATTATTTACGGTCTTGTTCGTCGAAGATCTAAAGTTTTTAAAAACACTTTGTACTACAAAGTGTTTCTTTTTTATTTTAAGTGGCTTTCCGCCAGCGGTTCCGCCCATGCTCCTGTATTATACATATTTATAACCCATGTTCTTGTATTACTCTGTATATAGACGATAACCATATTTAAATCAGTGGTTAGTTTAAAAGATCTCGGCTTACAGACAGCGGCAAGCAACTTTGTTTTATACTATATACAGATTTTCAGCAATACGCAGATAAGTTACGATAACGCGAGTTTATTGATTCTTGCTTGTCGAACTTCGAAGAAACACTAATGTTATGGGGAAATATTATTTCGAACAACAAAGTAGTACTACTCTAAACGCGTATATAAATTATAATAGTAAGTGTACCAATATAAAAATGCATTTATACCGAATCAATTTAACATTTCGTAATTTTGCCGGGTCAGCTTAGTTTAGCGTCCTTTATTATGAAGACTAATCATGATATTTTCCTTAATAAAAAATTAACTGGTATAATTGATCTTTACAACTTAGAAGCAGAATTAACAAAACTTCTAAGGGAGTAAGACGCAAAGGTCTTATACAACGTATTAGTTGATTATTAGTCTTTGTATATTCAAAATGATTTTCTGGCGATTATCTTGATTTATTGAAAATCTTAATGAATACATATGTATAATCCATACCTGTCTTAGCTTAGTGATATAGCATTTCCGGATTGAAACCTTCCGTAACTGTGTTACGGGCAGGCGGAGTGTGCATCATGTAATGGTGTTACCCGAAGCAACAATGTTATACCATTACGTTTTAATACCGCCCTGTTCACAATAAAAATACTCTTAATCTCATTGAGAACTTGTTGCCTTTTGACGGTAATGTTTTAAGGAACAAGTGGATAGAACTAATCGAAATAAAAGGTATTTTTAGCTAATACTGTTTTATTTTATGGTCTTGTTAGGTACCGGCACATAAGTGTATTTATAAATTGGTTCGGTAAACAATTAGGATAATTGAAAAGAACCTGTCTAATTCGAGTTGGATTGATGACGTACCGAATATTCCATAGAAACTGTAGAGTTCTTAAGGTTTAGGAAAATAATAATATACGTAAACGAATTATTACTTATTTTCCATGTGACTTAATTGGATTAAATCACATGAAAAATAAAATAAGGGGATATCTTTTGGATATTTTCTGAAATATTTTTAAAAGATCTACCTGATCTTATTCCATCATCATCATCATCATCATCAGCCCTTTTACGTCCCCACTGCAGGGGCTCAGGCCTTCCTTATGGATGGTTAAGGAGGATGGGCCATGACCCTCCACGCTGACCCAATGCGGATTGGAGGGTATTAACGACTGCAAATTCAGCCGGGACCAACGGCTTAACGTGCCTTCCGAAGCACGGAGTAGCTCGAGATAATAATTTTTTGGTCACCCAACCCGTACGACTTAACGACTACGATCACGGGCCGCGGCGCTAAACCACTACGCCACCGAGCTATTCCTTTATTAGATTTATTCCAAATATCTTTTTATTAAACAGTATATTCAATATACAGTAATAATAGTAAATCAATAGAAAATTACACATGTTTACTTTTATCAGAACTTATAGAAATATAGAACTTTTTCTAGCTTGTTCGAGTGAAATTCAATTACTTTTCATTATTTCAAGATACTAAGAAAGTTGTTAAGCAACGAAGAAAACTCGTTAAATTGTTCCACTTATTTCTTCTCGCAGTGGAGTTTTCTTTTTAATTTAGTAGCTCAATCAGCTGAAACTTACTACGTAATAAACTACATTACATTAGTTAAAAGTTCCAAAATATGTCTTACACGAGATGTATTTTTAGTATAGAAACAATTTTGTTATGGAAAAATATTGTTTCAAATATTCTAGGATTAATTATAGATGATAGATTACAAATTTGAAAGCTTTTTAAAGCAATAACTAAGTCTGTCTGGCCAATAATAATATAGAATATTATCTGGAAAGTATGTAAACATTTTTTCACACAAACATACAACATTTGGGTATCTAAGTAAGACAAATGACGTAAGACTTTCATAATAGCATCACCATTACTGAAATGAAATTAGTGGCTAGCGGATGCTCGTTTGGTCTAAACACATTGTAGCTACGAGACAGAAAGAGCTCTTTTAGTGATTAATGAAACGGCGAAAGTTCTCTTAGCTGCACAGTTGCAGAATTGAAAAGGCACTGGTTACTTTATAGAGCATTTAATTTTATACGGAAAACATAGGTATTGGACATAAAGTGTAGTTCACAATTAATTTTGTTTAATTAAGCGAACTACGTGACTGTGAGCTATGATAATAAAGTCTATGGTACAATTTGTGTGTTGCCCAATTAGTTATTTTGAAACATAAACAAAACATTAATTAGATGTTGTGGAGAGCATTGTATCTAAATTTCATGCAACATATTAAGTCGAATATGATAGGAGTTTTTATATTATAGGACTTTTGCCATCTTTGATTACGACAATAAATGGGTGACTATATTTTGAAATCTATCTATTTGTGTGGCAACGGATTTTGGTTTCAAATATTAAAGTAATATACATAAATCAGTAATTTATTATCCACTGGGGTTGTTTACTCTCGTTGACTTGACTTGCCAACATTTTGTTGTTTAACTTATTGGAGACGGCAAGTCGTAAACAGTAACATTTCTCAAGCCATAAATTATTTATTCCATTCATTATAATTTGTTATACAAAAGAGGAACAGAGTTTTTTTGAAGTATTGCAAATATAGGCAGCCAAATGTAGGACATGTTGTTCCGATTTTGTGGTGGAGCTGCAGGCGCACCGGTTCCAAGGTGTTTTCATGGAGTCACGGATTCGATTCCGGCTCTGTCTGCTTTGGGTGGTGTATCTTAGTTATATCAGACTACTTGTTTTATAAAAGTGTTATACAAGTGTATTAGTTACTTTTAGTCTAAGCAATGTATGTAAAATTGTCTAATATTTAGTATAAAATAATAAAGGAAGTGGTATATTGTATGCATTTAAGCGGCATTAAATACAATGTACATCTTCTCTGAAAGATGCCTTAATGGTAAGTCCCCGTTGACAGCTCCATTTCCTAACGTCTAATTTACTAAACGAAATTTAAGTTGCTTTGAACTGGCAAATTAACAGCTCTATACCCGTCACTTTAATTATGTATGGTACAAACTATCTGTTGTTAAATTCAACGGCAAAACTCGGTAATAAAATATTACATTGGAATTAACTTCGAGTTAAGGCAGGAATGGATGTACGGTTTTTTCCAACTGGTTCAAAAATTCGTCATTGCGTCCTTCTCACCCTCCCCCCCCTTTTTGATATTTTTGTGAAATCATTTTTTTCTAACTCCATCAAATGTCGTTTTTTGGGCCCCCTCACATTGGCGTCTGCGGCAAGTGACCCCACTTCCTTTCCCTAGATCCGGACCTGAGTTAAGGAAATCTTTGTGTTGTTCATCAGCGTTTTCACTGACTGACGACTTCCGTAGTTTAGTAGCACGCTAACTGGTTTCAAGGTATCATTATTTCTGAGCTCCCGGGTTGATTCCCGGTTGGGTTAATGATGACATTGAACTTGTCTATACTGTCTCTGCTGTCTAATATTTATTTTTTATATACTCGTATTTAAATAACCTCCTTCCTTTTATAAATATTATAAATATTACTTCGTCAACATTATATGTAGATGTATATAAATATTAATTTTACCTTCACCTCTTCAAATATAATCCTTATCTTAGTCTTACGTCAAAATATACATCGACATTTCCTCCGTGCTTCGGAAGGTACACGTTGAGCCGTTGGTCCAGACCGCATCTGCAGTTATTAACACTCCATATTCTCATTGGACATTGGATGGTGGATTGATATCTAATCTTCATATTCAACTCCTTTCGATTTCATTCATATGTAGGAAGGCCTGTAGCGCCTGTAGAGATTATAATTTGAAAATGGTGAAGCTAATTTAAAGTGCTTTCATAGTTGTCTATTTGTCTAAACAGGATCAGTCAATAATAAATGCAATATGTTTTGCTAAATTAACATAATATCTTTTATTCATTACTAAAACAGTATTCACACTTTGGTACAAAAACAACAAGTTGTGTAACATTAAAATATACTCACAACTAACGAACAAATAAATCGTTCTTTTAACATTAACAAAAGAAAAGTATCTAAAACGTATATCAGGTAAGGTGTAATATAATTAAAGAATGAATATCTAAAATTGACTTTGTTATTAAAACTCTTCACGAGAAACTGTTGATATACACGTTTCATATCTAATATACCCTTCAGATTGATAAATAAATAAATTCAAAGATATATGTATACTTTATGTTAGTAATTAAATTCTGTACAATAATTTTTATATTGGTAATATTTAGGACACAAAGAATGAAGATTTATGATTTCTATTTGATAAAATGTTAGTAAATAACTACAATGGTAAAGGTCCCACAAGTACTTGAAGAATTTAAGAAATATTGACTAATTTAATAATTTACAACTTTCTACCATCAATAATAAAAGTGATAAGTAGACATTGAAAGTCGTTGGATTGTTATTTGGCACATTTTCATATGTTGAGTTGTTAGGGTTTATGTACATACAATATTTTACCTGTAATGTAACATAATTATCACAAATTGACTAAATCTCTTTTGCACAAATCCGTTACACTCATTTTTCAATCCAATTATTGCTTCAAAATCTATCACTTCAAAATTTTAGTTACTACTAGAAATAAAATATTTACACGATGATGTACGAACACATATATCATACAGATGTTGTTATTTGTTCTATCAGATGATGTTCACGTCGTCGACAGTTAGTCCGACAGGAGCCTCCACGGCTCCAAGTGCTGCCTCTCGTAGCGAGCCCTTCTGGGACACTTCTAGACGGTCGTAAGGGAGCCGTCTGCCGCCAGCAGTCGGGGCAGTGAGCTGCGGAGCAACATACCCTGTCTAGCGGTGCTGCATAGGACAGGGATTTAGGCAATCTCGTTCCACAAGAAGGGCCAGGCCAGGCGCAATAGGCCGTCGCTCCTCCAGCGCTGCAAGCACACCACGCTGGCTCGCACCTGGGCGGCGTCACGCATGGACACACCTCCGCTATAGTCGGTGCTGGTGCTGGAGGTGGTTCAGGATCCCTCTTAGAGAATCCTACAAAGAACAACAGTACTGCCCCGGCGAGAGTGGCTGCAGTCGAAAAATAGAAGCCTGCTCTAGGCGCTTGTTGATTAATGTAACCCGTCATTGGTACACCTACTATTACTGGTATTGCTTCAGCACCTTGTACGAAACCTGTTGGAGAATAATACACTTTTTATTTCAATCTCAAATAGGTTAATTTTCTATTACGTTACTTTGGAGGCGCCTAACACTATTAAAAAAGAACACATCAGAAAAATTGTTTTTAATAGAATTCATAAAAATGTACGCACCCCAAACCTTTGTGAAATGTCGCCCACGGACGCGTTCCATTGTCAACATTTTTATGGAATACAGGAATCCTCCTAAACAAAGGCCGTACATCCACGCGAACAAGACGTAGCCATGGTAACCTTCTACACTGCTTAAAGCCAACATGGAAATACCTGAAACCATTGGCAACATTCAATTAGTGTGTATTGACGGAACACACCTTTGCTATACCAATAATGGTTTCGTACATGTATTTGTTGTAGAGTTGCTCTCATTAGTTTAATATACTTAATTGTTTATCAATTCATAACATATCAATATGATAGGTAAATATATTCCTTAATTAACCACATTTAAATAATCCAACACTAAGTGTTAGTTTTGTGTATAAATTATTTTCTTTTTTTCTCTAAAATGAAATGTTCAGGGACACTTCTCATAGTGTTATTTTTTTGCATTTATAGTATAAAGGAACGATTTATTATTATCAGTACACATTTATTTTTTCTATGGTTCAGTAAATTTTAATATTTACTTTAACACTTTTTTCATCGTTCTTATAATAGTAGTGATCAAATTGCAAGTCTAACATCAGATATAAAAGACTTCTACAAACACGTTGTGATTTATGATATAGCTACTGGACTTTAGAATTGATGACCTATCTTTGTAAATAAACTTTAGGTTAAAAAAAAGAGAGACAACATGTAATTTTTTTTGCACTGCTACAAAATTTTCCTGTTAATATGTTAACAAACCTTAATTTTTTTAAGTGGTTCGTAAACTGTCTTACCAATTCCTAACATAGCAGTTTGACAGAGGTATTGTTTGGAGACGAGACACTGCGCAGATGGCCGCACCAGCACGAGCCCAAAGCCAGCGCAGCCGAGCACTGCCGCGAATCCAAGGAAAGTCTGCAGGAGGACGAGAGCACTCTCTTCCAAGCCTTCTTGGAACCCTTGAAGAGCCTATTCATAGACAAATATTAATGTATTTTTTCGTTATTATTTTGATCAATTTCGTCCCTGGCAATTTCAATTCTGTAGTAGCGAAAAAGTAACAAGTGCTTATGAAATTCGTCAGTTCTGTCATGTCCTGGATAGCTCAGTAGTTAGAGCAGTCGTCCGGATTGCGAAAGGTCTTTGTGCCCCATCTCAAGTGGATTTTTTAGCATTTTCATTAAGAATATTTTATCACATCAAAATTTTTTACTCACCTTTTGAATTTTTCAATAGTGTTTTGTCATAAATTGGCAAAGTCAGTCCATTTATTTCTTATTAGGTAGCTTAATTAATACGTATATAGCAAATATGTAAAATGTCTTCAGGTGGTTTAAGGTATAAGGTGAAAATATTACGGCAAACAATAATTTGTATTAATGAATTCATTTGCAAAAAGTTTATGGTGAAAAGTCTATTTGAATAGAATTGAATGTCTAATAATGTTTTTCTGTATGTGAATCGCAAAGAGTATTGGTTTTCTAACCGTCCTAATTAAATACAGGGGGCTATTAACATTGATTTTATGTATTATGTAGGACGCCTTTGTATGTCTGTCGTAATCACGTTGGAGAAGGGTTAATGTTAATTAGCAGCCGCATCCAGATAGAAGGAATTGTTGTTTTACGATTGTCCAATTGTCGGGGCTCTTTGATAAAACAATATAGGTATTTCGCTGACAAAAAAATCATATTTTGGATACAATTTTTGTTTTTAAGGACTAGATACATAGCAGTTAATATATACACAGAAAAGAGGAGTTACAAACGGACACAATACGGTTAAATATATATAGATAAAATTAGAATACCGTGTAGCGAGATTTATCGAATAATAGTATATATGCTTATGGGAGTTGGAACTAAATTAATTGGTAAAGTTTGTGTCAATAGTATATCTAACATATTCAAACTAATGTTAAGTTAATTTGATTAATGAACATGCATTTGTAGTCAAAACGATAGAGCTAGTGAATTTAATATTAAGTTGAAAATAATTTTCAACTTAATCTGAGCTAGCAGCTCATATAGGTATATCACGTATAACATCAAAATTATGATTGTGTGATTATAAACATGTTATTCAATAAATTTACACTTACTAGGAAAAATACTGGAGTGTAAAGTCCAAACGCAGCTAATCCAGCAGAACATAACAACACTCTAGCCGGCCTCGAGTGAAGGGGGCTTAGATCGATGAGGGGGGGCCGTTTCATGCCTTTTTTCTCTTTCACCTGTCAAGTTGGACAATACAGAACATCAGAGGAAAGAAATCCCAGGCATTAATTAGACACTCTGCGGGAGAACCTTTTGAATGAGGGTTTGCCTGTCATTTGTCTACATAAATATGAAGATGAAAGTGGGTTAGCCAGTATTCAAATGGACGTTATTAAAAATACGTCACAATAAAAAAGTGATTGCTTTATATTTTTGAGGTATTTCATTGTTAATAAAAAAAAATTACGTGGGTATTTACTATTTAAATTTGGTATTTATTTTTTATATATGTATTTAGTAAATATGTTGTAGGTAATATTAGAATCCTTTCATTGACGATTTAATCAGTAGAATACTACAGATTAATATTTTCAAAAGCTTTTCTTTATTTTACAGAATTAGCTATAACACTAAATTTAACTAAAACATATATTGATGTTACGATTAGAAAGTCGAGCAAGTTGAAACCCTTGGTTATGTTAGTCAATTATTCATTATTTGCCACCGGCTACTATATACTAAAATATTTCTATAGTGACTGTACTCGGTGAAACAATATCTTTTGCTTATTAGTGTCAAGTAAAAAGAAAGTAACATTGTGCCGCAAAGCTCCATAATTATAGAAATAAAACAGAATAAAAATTAAACATCAATAAGTATTCAAATAATAATTTCTCAGCAGTCTTCAGCGTGGTTGTCGACAGTGGTTTATGAATTATAATAGCTGACCGTACATAATTAAACATAATATTTATTTGCATTAATATTATTTGTGTATTCTTCATGACTGTCTGCATTTGTGGTTAACAAATGAGTGTTATTTTCAACTTAGTTCCAAAAACGAATGAATTAAAACTGACGACAAAAAGTTCACGAAAAAAACCGCTGAATTTACATGAAAAAGCCCATCGAAAGAATTGTAAACGTCAATTTCGATAAGTAGTTCGTATTTCGAATTCAGGGCAGCAATTTCATCCGTTCCGAACAAGCATGGTCTTAATACTGCGCTAATAGGGTTCCGCTTTTGACGGAATTCTAAAATCGCGCGTTTCTAAAGTGAAAAGAGAATCCACCAATTAAATTATACTCGGGCCCTTTCTTCGCTGATTATTTCCTTAATTTTAATTCAAAGCGAATAATTTTCAAAGAGCGACATTAACATTCACTCATAAATAATTTCTGACCTTTCGACGTTGGTTTTTGAGGTGGAGAATAGCTCGTCTTTGCGGGTGGTAGAGTGAGGCGCTCCGATAAACAGCGCTGAGAAAAAACGCTAAAACAAGCACCCCCGTCACGGCTTGTAGTCCCAATCGCCAACCTAGTTTACTAAAACAGAATAAATTATGGACTTTACAGAATATGAGATCAGAATATTTAACGTGCAGCTCGGCTGCCCTAAAATAATATTGTTTTTCCTAAATTGCCATCCGTCAGAAACTTATGAATAACATGACACGAATAGAAATATTAATTATTTAGACAAAATCGTTTCAGGGGTTTCGTTTAGTGAGATTACGCTTCAAAATCGTACCAAAATGTTGTAATAAATAAATAAATAATGATTGTGTTTCTGAAAAATTATTCAATTTTTTCATGTACTAAACGGAAATCTTAAAATAATTAATTAAAAGTATAGCTTCAAATAGTATTTTTTTCAAAAATACACGCATTAAAACTGTTTGAAACTCGTTTTATTCATTCAAGAGACATTGGAATGTGCGTACTTTTATTTTTATCATCTTTAGGAGTTTTACACTCTATCGTATATACGGTTGCATTTCCATTTATATCATTTTCATACTAATCAGAGTAACATGTTTCATTTCGATCAAGATATTCATGTAGGATATTATTCCGCAGCCCGATCTGTGGTTGAGATTACATTTATTGTTATGTTATACCAAAATATAAATGATGAAATTGTTCAGTAAATGCCTGCATTATTAAATGTACTGGTTATTTAAAAAAAAAGAACTAATTATATAAGCAATAGAGGTTATAGACATTTGATATTGAGACAGCAAGGCATCACGGTCGTCTTTAATGACGCTCAAAGAGTAAAATGCTCGGAAATCGAAAGGTACGTGCCATAGCATTGGTCCCAGGTGTACCTGTTATTGTTAATTGAGCCCACTTGGAAGATTATTTATAGGTTCACGATAATTATAATGAAGGTATTAAAATAGATACTGACCCTACAGCTTCTTTGTATGCGACGCTAAAGAGCGCAATGCCGACGCCTCCACCAGCATGTGCAACCAGTTCTACGAATTGCCTTCTTCGTCGAAAGTAAGCTCCGAGCACCAGACCAGCAGCCTCACGTACTAGACCGCAACCTATACCTAACACCACACCTAAGAAAAAAATGATCTTTACTTAAAATAGGATTAATCTTTATGTAGAATGTAGATAAATAGACTTTTGAATTGGGGTTAAGAACATTTTGATTTTATTTGTGTTATTTTTGTTTAATGCTCATCAAATAACTTGTAAACTAAGTGTAGATGTTGTAACTTTGAATCGTAGATTCATATTTTCATCAACGTTTTGCATTTAATAATTCTATACTGATTAGTGTTTAACGCATTGTAATAATACAGTTAGTTAATAGGTATGCGGCACATAATAATAGTAGGGGTTAAAGTATGAAATTGTAGTTTTTTTGTAATAGGTTTCTTTTCGAAAGAAACTTTTTTCACATAGTTTCTATGGTGTTCTTCTTTTAAAAAATGTGAAAACTTTGAATATCATTTTTGTTATTCAACTTAGACAAGAAATATGGAAGCAGTGAAAATTTGAGTGATTTTCGAATACGAGTTCCGACGCGGAAGTAACGCGGTGTTTCTCCCGCGCAATATCAATGTTGCGTTTGGAGAGCGGTATGCTAATGAACGCACCGTGCGATTTTGGTTTAAAAGTTTTTGTGATGGTAACTTCGACTTGAAGAACGAGCCACGAGGAAAACCACCCACACAGGTGAATAACGATGAATTAAGAGATATGTGGAATCCGATCCTAGTCAAACTACCAAGGAATTAGCGGCATAGTTTAACTTTACCATACCCACAATATTGACTAATTTGCGTCAAAACAATAAAATAAAAAAAATACGAAAAATCGGTGCCTCATGATTTGATTGATCTAGAGAAAGAAACACGTTTTGAAACTTGTGTTGCCTTCTTGAAGTGGTACAGAAATGAAGGAATATTGGATCGAATTGTGATATGTGATGAAAAGTGGATTCTTTATGATAACTGTAAAAGAAAAATGCAATGGCTGATTCCATGTCAAACGCCACAACAGTGTCCTAAATTAAAACTTACCAATAAAAAAATAATGGTAACTGTTTGGTGGTCTTAGCATGGTAATATTTTATATTGTTTTGCTCCAATCTGGTCAAGCAATAACGGCAGATGTCTATTGTGATGAATTTCGAACAATGTCGGCATAACTAGCAGTAAAACAGCCCCGACTCATGAATCAATCTTGACCATTAGTGCTTCATGACAACGCGAGACCTCATACAGCACGAGAAACCGTTTTGACCCTTCAGGAACTGCAGTTAGAAACCATTCGTCATTCTCCGTATTCGCCAGAGCTTGCTCCAACGGACTACCTTTTTTTTTCGTGATTTGGACAATTATCTACGTGACAAGGAGACACTACAAAATGCTTTCACACAGTTTGTGCAGTCTAGATCCTCAGAGTTCTATCGCAAAGGCATAAATGATCTTTCTATAAAGTGGCAGCAATATATAGATAATAATGGTAACAATTTTGAATTAATAAATTTATTAAAAAATAAACATTTTTGATTTTCAGTACAGATCGGCAATTTCATACTTTAACCCCTAATATCATATTGATATTAAGACTGTTACACTTCAAGTTATATATATATTGGTGTTATTGTATGGTAAAGTAGAAATCATATCTTATTACCAGCAGATCTAATTTGTAGTCTAGTTACAAAAATATGAAGATACATAATTATATAACACTTATCGCTTATTCGGACATTATTTTTTTTTTAATAATGTTTCTGCAAAATAACGTAAGCTTTAGAGTAGACCTTTTTAGGACAATATTAAAATATATTGTGTGATCAATAAGACACCGTAGACTTGAATTGATGCTAATAATCACCATAGCTAAGCATCGTTTGATGCAGTTGTGTTGCGAAGGAGGTGAATAGGCAAGCAAGTGGCAGTAGCAGTCCCCCCAGGAGTGCTATCAATCTTGGAGACTTCTTTCTTCCAGCCACTAGTGCGCCTGCGGCTCGAGACACACCCACGCAGATTGCACCCGCCCAGACTAGATCAGATGACGGGTATCACGTAAGTATTTATAATTTACATATAAAACATCATCGAGATTTAATCCAAATGTTTAATGAGAAAGCAGGAGTAGGTAAAGTGTACGTTACTGCGGAAAGGTAGTGTATCCTATTTGTCATCCCTTTGTTTTTGTCAAATTTTGCTTTGGCTTTTTCAATTAATATGAAATGACAACTAGGAGTTTGTATTGAATTGAATCCAACACTAGAAGTAAATTTTTCAGTGTAATAATTTTAAATATACCCTATATCATACCTACTATAAAATGAAATTTACTCGTATTATAACTTACAATATTTGTTTCACGTATCCTTTCTGTACTACGGAAATTAGAATGTTAATTGGTATCGCGCACTGCTAAAGACATATTTCGTTAAACTCATTAGAGTGAATGTGAGATAGCGGTAATTTAGGTGATAGCGTCCCACACCACGCGGTTTTACTTAACGCAATTACCTACACTGCGAGCTCGTTGTTTGTTATAAGTATCGCTCAGTATGCTAGTTACGGTTCGTTTGTCAAAGCCTCATTCAAATTGTTTTCCATTATACATACTAGTTCATTTAAGCCAGGACAACAAAGTCTAATTAGCAGGTGGCGCTGCCGACTCGCAGTATTCTGATCACGGCTGCGGTTGGCACGTCGCACGTCGTTTCGGCGTCCGATTACCGAACGTAACTTAACTCGTTAACTTACCAGCTAAATTCCAATTTCTGAGCTAAAGTAAACCTGACAGAGTTATGTCTCCGAGTTCCGCCTCCACCACTGACAACAAAGACCGCGTTCATAACCAAAATTACTTCTGCCTCTTATTATTCAACCCAGGTCGTGAATCTTGGAAAATTAATTCAATAAATCAGCCTAGTCCGCAAATACCGGTTACTGAGAAAGTTCATTTGTTTAATATCCAATCTTAAATTTTACTTGTCCAAACGTGGTATCTATAGGAACCAAAATTAATTTGTTAAATTGAATTATGGTTTAAATAACACGATTTATACGGTTCGAAAGAAGCAGCCAAATTGGACAGCGGGAGCCTAACAAAATTGCTTTCGTGTTGCGAAAGAACTTAACGAAATCGTTTTAAATAAAACCATTACAGCTTTTATTCGGCATTGTAGAAAAAAGTTTTTTCTGTTGTTTGTTTATTTAAGTGTTTCCGGAGGGCTGCCGTTGATAGATTACTTTCGGAGTCGCCTCCAGAGTCTCGGCGCTCAGATACGATCCCGGGTTGTTCTCTTCCCCAATCGTATATCTCAGTTCCACTCAACACATTAAAACTGTTATATCTTTTTTATCTGTTATTTTCTCGCAGTTATCGTTGAAATATTGATTTGCTAAATTGGCAAAGCTTTTAGATTGCGCTTCAGGGTAATGCTATTATTACTATTATTGCAGATGATAGTTTTTCGTGTGGATAGTTTGTTGCTATACTCATGCTATACTCATTTCGTGTTTTGTCGTAAGAATATTACTTTATATGATTTATTCAAAAAAAACAAATATAATTAATTTTGTTATTAATATCGGAAACTATATTTAGAGAAAAGACAATTGAAGATATTTTTACTTTCTAAAGTTAAAATAATGACACTTATGAAGTTACGTAACGTTTAGTTGCCTACTTGATTATGTACAACAAGTTAACGTAATTTAAATGGGGTGTGCCCACGTCACTCAAGAACTAATACAATTATCAAAGTTTCATTTACTTTACGTAAAGTAAGGGTGTTCATATAAATTATTATTACTCTAACTGCAGGTGTTAGTCTTATTTTTACTAATAAAAAGTATCGTGTTACCCAAGATATACAAAAAAAACTTTTATTTTTTTAAAAACTTAGTTGTAGGTTATCTGAGGATTTTTGTTGACTGTTTTTAGGTAATAACCGTAAAAATCATACTAATAAAGATATTAAGGTCATTAACTAACGAAACTGGATATTTGACGACGAAATTCAATTTGCGATTTAAATTTATATTAAAACCGAACATAATAATTTTATAGAAAAAGACTAAAAAACGGGACATAATTCTTAAACAATACAGACTGTAAATTCAAATTCAAAATCTTTTTTGAATTCGAATATTTCTACATATATGTAAATATGACGGTAACGGTTTATTTACCAGCGTGGTCAGCAGTTGGTCCTAGGTGGCGTAAAGCGTAGACGTGTAGCGCACCGTAGGCTAGCTGCAGCCCAGTAGACAGCAAGTGTGCCAAGAAAGCCGCTCCACACACGATCCAACTGTTAACATCACATTCATTGTAATAATTGATATATTTGAGTGAATGAAACACATTTTTATCTCGTAGAAAAATAATTGAAAAAGATAAAGGGTTTAGCCGGATACGTATGACGAGTCGGCCCCCAAATGGGAATCGATATTGAAACTTATGTTTTAATATAGACTTGATGTTCAAACACGATTTATGTACTTTTCGCGACCGACTTCCGCTTTGACCTTGAGATAGAGAGCAAAATATCCGTATGCTTGACTATTACTGAATGTGATATATCTCTGAAGCTAATTAAGATAAAGAAGTGAAACTAACGCGAGGTGTTAGGTTACATTACAGAGTATATCACATATATTTTTTTATAATTTTTAGAATAAAAAATTACATTAAAAAAATAAAAAAAAATAAAAAACATATTTTTTTTCTGAGTTCTCTGTGACTTACAATCACGAAATTAATATATGTTATGCTCCTTTGTGTGCTCTATTACCCATAAAAATTGCGTGAAAAAAAAGTTGGTGCAACACAACGAAAAAAAATTATATGTGATTTCTGTCTTATGGTATAACCCTGTATTATAAGGTTTTCACATTACATCATTGTTTTTTTTTCGAAATTTCACATCAGCTTGTTTTAAAACATAAGTAACTAGTCTTAAGACATGGGATGATAGTTAAAAAAGAAATGAAAAAAAAAAACAGCCAGTGTTCAATACTTATTATTATTACTTTTTCGTGTCTATCAAAATACAAGAAACAAAATATTAATCATCGTCACTGTTGTAATTAATTACAATCGGTACACTTTGAGTCGCAAATAACTTAGTTAGGACCTCATCCGGACGTACGATTTTGGACAAATATCGTCCATATGATAGATAATAAATAATAGCTGCTACATGAGAACAGCATCCCACTGTACGTTTGCCATTGGGGCAATCACAGCAATAACGAAGAATACTATTGTAGTCATTACCTTCGGAAATATAGTGAATGTAAATTCGATAGACTTTTCTATTTATATGTCTTGATTTTACTTCTGCTTTGATGATATTAGGTGCTGATTTCACATATTGTACTGAGAGATTATTTTGATCGTCCATTATTTCGGCCAAGTTAAATGCTGCACATTTAGAAGTAGAAGCTTTTTTGTTAATATATGGGATAAGTCGACACTTCTTACAAAAAATATCATTAACTATTACGATTTTAGTGACTGTTTGAATAAAACACTTTAGCTTCTTCTTCATTCTTTATAATTTTTTTATAACCAGGAATCTTACACATGTACTTGTTACAATTTTTACACTTTCTCGACATTATTACTTAATAATGATTTGGTTCGATAGTTAATAATTTCAAAATGCTGATACAAAATACCTCTGACAGAATTTGAGTCCCAAACTGCCTTCTTGTGTAATACAAATGACTGCTACTTTAGCTAAACAAACGATGCAGTAAACAGCTCGATAACAAGTTCGAACTTGTTATCGAGCTGTTGAAATTTCGAAAAAAAAAACAATGATGTAATGTGAAAACCTTATAATACAGGGGTATACCATAAGACAGAAATCACATATAATTTTTTTTCGTTGTGTTGCACCAACTTTTTTTTCACGCAATTTTTATGGGTAATAGAACACACAAACAAACATATATTAATTTCGTGATTGTAAGTCACAGAGAACTCAGAAAAAAAAACATGTTTTTTTTTATTTTTATTTTTTTAATGTAATTTTTTATTCTAAAAATTATAAAAAAATATATGTGATATACTCTGTAATTTAACCTAACACCTCGCGTTAGTTTCACTTCTTTATCTTAATTAGCTTCAGAGATATATCACATTCAGTAATAGTCAAGCATACGGATATTTTGCTCTCTATCTCAAGGTCAAAGCGGAAGTCGGTCGCGAAAAGTACATAAATCGTGTTTGAACATCAAGTCTATATTAAAACATAAGTTTCAATATCGATTCCTATTTGGGGGCCGACTCGTCATACGTATCCGGCTAAACCCTTTACGACGAACGAAACGTTGAGCACATTGCTAAGCTTCCAACTCGCTCTTCCTCCTACAGAGTGATTCCGTAAAAATCCAAAACCGAATTCAAATTCTCTCAGGTAAACAAATTCACTTCGAAAGCGAATCCTCTTAACCTTGAATTGGTATTAGAGTTTCGTTGAATAAGTGAAGTGAGTTCCGAAATGTCAGGGATAGAATATCTGAGACACGTATGAATTAATCAATCTTGCTTTATATTTTTATACAAAAATTGAATCAAAAGAATTTCTACACTAATATAGGTTAAGCGGGTTCGCTTTCAAAGTGAATTTGGCCACCTCAGTGAATTCGAATTCGGGTTAGAATTTTTACGAAGTTGCTCTGCAACTCCTAATTAAGCGATTCTTTCAAATAAAACTACTTCAAAAGGTGATAAGTTTTATTTGATTAAACCTCTATGGTGCGACGTATGTACATATGTTTGATGCTGTGTTCAATGCTAATTATCGTACTGAATAGCAAAGCAGGTCTGTGAGGGGAAACCACCGCGTAAACTTACTAGCCAAATTTATCTCAGACGGTTGAATTTTTAAATATACTCTGTGGAGTTTGTGTCCACCGGTTCAGTTAACATAATCAACTAAAAGTCATACGGCGAGGAAACGTAAGATCTGCCGAAGATATCACAGTTTTCTGTGAGAGCATAGTCATTACTCGTGGGGCTTGCTTAAGTTGCAGGTATATGTGAAAAAACCACAAACCCCAGCGCCTTAAAAGTTAACAAAACTCATATCGTCTCCACATAATTCAGGATGAGTCATGAAAAATTTCGGACAACGATAATTAAACGACGTTACACTTATTCCATACATTATTAGAAATGTCTCTAACGAATAAAAAATAGATGATATATCACCTATATGTACTTTCATAAAGTGCGTACTTAAAAAAGACTAAAGGTTTCTTTATATGTGTACGCAAACTGTTCTGCTTTTTTATCGTAATAATATAAAGAAAGAGTGAATTTATGTGAAGGATAATCCCCGAAACCGACACTGATTTGAAAAGCTCTTTTTCTATTGGAAAGTTACGTTACTCCGGATGAAGATAATTTATCCGGGCACAGTAATAGTAAGTAGATAAAAAACTGTAGAACTGTAACATTACCAAAGTATTGGTCTTCACATGTTTTTTTTTTATGTGAAGTTTTATTTCGATATTTTGTAATGCAAAGATATTCTGTCTTCGTCATGTGATATCATCGGTATGTGATGCGACAATCCGACCACATGAGAAATTCGCGATACCTGTACACACGTCATAGAATTGCTTATTATACGAAAGTTGATTTATAAATAAATCAGCCTGTGACATTTTACTAATATTCACTCATAAAAAGTGAAAATGTTCTTTCGTATAACGTACTACGTGAGTAAGCAAGATTCGCTAATAATGAGGTACTTATTATTCTAGATAGGTTTGAGGAAATTAACTACATGTTATCTTACGGTATTAAGTGTCAGGCATATAGTAAAATTAGATAGTAATTATGTAAAAGCCATCGTCAATTTACAAATAACGAAAAACAATTTGTACGAATACGATAAAAAAAATTTGAGTGCTTCTTGAACATTTGTCGTTTACAAAATAAGCTACTAAATCAATAACAGTCGCATGGACTTTGTGATGCTGTAGGAAACGATATTATAATACAAGAAGTGGATCTGACAAAAATAAACGTGTATACCCCATACATTGGCTATAATAATCATACAATGAAATGCAAAGATCTAAAATGATCCATTATATACAAGGTGTTGAGAAGAAAATGAATTATAATAGATTTTTAGTGCCGTATGTTGCCCTCGACTTGGTAAAGTTGAGAAGTTGAATGTTCCCACTAGACTTTTATGTAATATTAAGTCAGTAAACGTTCCAATTTCAAAAACCAATTCCAGACAGAATGCATTCCTATTACGAGCGAGTAAATCATATAATGATTTGAGCACGGTTCTGGATCTAGACTTTTTAATTCTAGTTGTGAGTAAATAACATCCAAGATAATAAATGTATTTTGAGACTGGAAATAAGTGAACGAATGTCTGAAAGAAATGTAGTGAGTATTTCTTTGTATACGTGTGTCTATATGTAATGTGTGTTATTTGCCAAGTCTCAGAAAAAATTAGAAATAATACATATCTTAAAAGCTACTTTATTGTTAAAAAAAACTCTTAAATCACTTACAGAATAGATAGACTTAAGTAGCAGTTTCTTGAATAATTAAGCTTCTATGAATAGTATTATTTCTGACTTCTTTAAAGTTTAAAGTAGACACAATATTTTGAATTTTTGTTTTAACTTGTATAAATAATAGAACCCAAAACGACACGAAATATTTCACGGATAACCCATGTTTTGTTGCCAAGGTCCATTTAAGTAGTCGGATCTCAAAACGTACCCGAGAACCGATATCAAGCCACTTATCGATAACCTAAACTGTAAATCTTTATTTCTCATCATAATGGCCGTAATACATGCATACATTCCATCAAATTGATAGTCAGAATCGCCTCTTAGAAGTTTTAGTTATTATTCTGAGTTTTAAACAATAGTTCCATTTTCAAAAATAAAACTTTCTCATTCAAGAGTATTTATTTTATAAAGATATATTTCTTAAATCTACTAAACAGGAAAAACTATTTTAGCCCCTTTGGTACGTATTAAGCTTGTGTCCTACATGTGCAAATACAGATGTTTGTTATATATTCGAAAAGGGAACCATTTTAACTTATAAATATTTAACAAAATAAATTTTATGATACTACTTTGGAAAATATTACCAATTGAAAACTCGAAAAAAGTATTGCAAATATAACTACAGAAATTTGCTAAAATACATATGGCATTAAATTGGTTACATAAAACGTTACAATTTTCATTATAAAAGTTATAAACATAATCGCAGAAATATCAAAAACATTTTGCACTGTGTGACGTCGCTTAGTGCCATGAATTTGTAAGGAGCGTTTTTGGCCGACTATCAGCATTCCACAAACATTGCATTAATCGCAGACATGATGTTACTTCTACATAATTTCTTTGATATTAATGGACCATTTTTTTTAATTTATAAAACTTACTAGTGGACGCCCGCGACTTCGTCCGCGTGGAAGTCGGTATCCCGTGGGAGTGAGAAGTTTTCCCAGTAAAAAGTACCCTATGTGTTATTCTGATGTATAACCTATATTGCTGTAAAGTTTTATCCAAATCCGTCCAGTAGTTTTTTCGTGAAAGAGTAACAAACATCCATACATCCATACTTACAAACTTTCGCCTTTATAATATTAATAGGATGAAATTGTCAACTAGCCTATCATGTATTTTTTGAAGAAAAGACATGAGAATGTATTTCAAAGTATCATTAATTTTGTTTCCAACATTTTAAAAACCAATTGGCGTTTATAAACAGATAATGTTGTTGATAAAATAAATAATAGCTATACTGTGTCTGCGACAAAAGTAATGTAGTTAAAATTGCCTCGTTCGTTAATGTAGACGCAATAATGATATAAATGACATAATATACTTACCCCGTTTCATACAGTTACGAAATGTAGCGGAAATAATTTTTGCCGCAGATTCTTTTGTACCCTAATGGCCACAGAAGTTTGAAGAGAACTTCTAATAGCCATTTAGATCGTGTTGCGATATCACGAAATGTAACTACATTTACAAATAATATTTTTGTAGCTATACTTACTATTTGAATGGAAAGATTCTTTGACAACTTTAACTTTATCGTTTCTATATTTGACTGAACTTAACAGAATTTCATTATGTATAATTTATTGACGTAGACAAATTGCACATGCAATTATAGCAGAAGTACTAAACTTAATAACAATAACTTAATAATAATACGATAAAAATTAAAAAATAGAAGATATTTGGTATTATAGTTATCGTGGTGAGTGCAAAGACACTGAAGTTATCCATGTAAGCATGCCTAAATTGTTGTTATGTCAAACTGAAGTAAAAAGAGAGGCTATATACTAACTAACCTTTACTTAATTAATACATTATTTATTAATTCCAAGGTGGCACAAAGTTCGCCAAGATAGTATTGATAAAAGCTCTGCGATTCTCTTTTATTATTAATATATTTAAAAAAACCAAGAAACTATTATATTAAATTTAAAACTTATTCCTACCGCAGGCATACTAACAGCCTTAGTGAGTAGAATACATATAATATTCTGAGTAACTTGTTAGCTTTTACGGAAAGTGTGTATAGAGCGCAATGCAAACAAATGCAGGCATCTGGGAATATTCTCCGAGATGCATTTAAACTAATGTAAAATATTTAAGAAAATATGGCGTTGATTTGATTTTATGTAGAACGGCTGATTTTGATGTGAAATCACCTACTTTCAGATACGTTTAGTTTATATTTTTAATTTGTGTAACGCTATAATCTCATATGAGTTATTGTACCTCTAAATATACTTATCTTCATCATACTTGAAATAAAATAGACTAGGTACATAACGACTTAACGACTTTTTTCGAGTATTTTAAAACAATATTAAGATAGCATTGTTAATGAAAAAATAGCAATATTAATAATTTGTTTTACTTGTTTCTTTCTGTAATAAAATACAATATTTTACATAATAATTTTATCTACCAAAGTTTGTAACATACAAGGTAGAAAACCCATAATTATTTATTAGGTGCTCAAATGTATTAAAATATATATGATTTGTTCTTAATAAAAATACTTAAAAATCTACTTTGTCATTATTTTCGCTATCATAGTCCTATAAAATCTTTAGCAGTTATTGATCGAACCGGACTTAAATTTCCAGATCACTCTACTTTTGTGCGAGATGGTTGAACAGTAAAAAAGTCAACGAGTTTCAATTCCATGTCAAATTAACTGCATCTATACATAGTATAAAATAAAGTCACTGCCTGCTGTCTGTACACTGAGATCTTTTAAAGTACACAATCGATATTAATGCGGCTTTCAACAGTTTACAGAGTGATTCGAGAGAAAGGTTTATATGTATAATATTGGACCACGTGGGCGGATGGTCAGTTTTGGATATTATTAACAAAGATCATCTATGTTAATATCTATACTATGTTAACTCCTGAGTTATTTATTATAAAAAGCTGGTAAGTTTCTTTCGCTTGTTCTTCTTGTCAGCTAAAAGAAGTCCTGAATAAGTGGTAGGGGAAAAAATATTTTTGGACGATTCAAAAGTGCTTGTAACAAGCTTACTTGAATAAAAACATTTTCATTTCAGTTAATCAGCAAGCGATAGTTCCTTAGTAGAGACTGAGCCGGGATACTACTTTGTCTTTTTTTACTTAAATTCAGATATATAGCTCAAATATGATTGGTGTAGGATTACATTTCTCGAGAGAATGTATGCCTATAGACTTATATTTTACGTTTCATGACTTGCGAGTCAGCCAGAAAGTGAGTAAAAGTTTTCTTATATGATGTTGGTTTGATGGTGGAATTTATTATATAATAAAAGGTTTCAACACATTATATGGGATGTATTTTAACAATTTTAAGACGTAGTATTCTTCAGTTAGTAACTTTTATGATCTTTCCTTTCTTTTTACTCGGGTCAATGTAGACTGGATGGTTCATAAGTAAATAATCAGTAAATAGGTCATAAAATTTTTATGCCTAAGTGAAAAAAATCTTGAAGCTGTTTTATCCCTAAAGGCGCGTCTAAATTTATTATAATAAATTATGATAAGTATGCTAAATTTTATAATATACAATGGGTACATATGATTGTAATAAAAAAGCATATTAAGTTAATTATAATAGAAGTATTGATAATTAAAATTTATTTTTATTTATGTGACTACCGTTTTTACGAAGAGAGATAAATTTTTCATGAGCCCATTCTCCAGCGAACCTGACCCACACATGGGCCTTTACAAGCTTTTTTCTTGGGTATGAAATCCAGGAAGCCATGATTGAATTGCTATCAGAACAAATATAAACTTACCCCCAGCCTCCTTCTGGATAGAAATGATGTTTGATAGCTCGTGTGTCGAGTTCACGACGACGTAACGCAGGAACAGTGCGATGTAGAGACCGCAACTCGCGCTCTCGAAGTGCAGCGCCTGATGATTCTTCTTCGCCGTCAGGCCAACCATCTATACACAAGAGGTATATTTTAGGAAAAGAATCACTAACTAGAAATATAACATTAACTCGATGCTACAAAAGGTTATCGCGCTTGTATTTATGCATTTTCAGAACATATAATTATTTACGAGTATTTAATGTATTAAATATTTGAAATATCAAATTTTTGAACAGGAGCATGTTATAAAAAAAGGGATTGCTACTTTATGTTGGTATTATATGCAATAAAAACGCATGCTACTTAACGAAATATGCAAAAACAACCACAATGGTTTAATAGAGTTTGGTAAAACATCAACATTTCAAACGCTTACTTAAATCTCACTATGAGATTTGTGATGTCAAAATTTAATAGAACGTATGCGGCTGTCGTTACTCTTTTAGTTTAGGAAAAAATATAGGCAAGTAAAGGTGGAATTATAAAATAAAATTGTGTTTATTTTGTTCTCACACACGATACGTACCAAATTCTTCTGCAACACTTTTGAATTACGTGGATCAAACAATGGAGCACCAACTAAATAGGTGTTAATAATTAAGCACGGTAGCCGCCCAGAGTGAAGCTCTACTAATTTATGTTGTGTAAAACAATAGGATACCATCCCGCGGCAAAGCGGAACTTACCCGAATATCAAGTGTGGCATTATAGCCTTTATTCAGGGTGTTACTTACTACCACACGCTTAGTTGAATTTTTAATCGCTACGCAAATATCTATCTCATGTTACCTAAATAGAACAGGATTTTGTATAAATATTATTTAAATTCATAATTGGTTTCCGAGTGATAGATTCGAGAGGAAGGTACTAATTTATTACATTGAAAGTCCCTCACTCAGTTCAAATGAGGGAGTACTATTTCCTGAGGTCTCAAACACGAAATACAAACACAGTTATTACACCTCACTCAGCAGAATAGTGAGTTGCTTCGAATGAAAGATTGAATCGATACATAATCTTAATAAGAATAATATTAATCGATTGAAGTAAATTGAGGCGAAGTGAGTAAAATCAAAAAATGATTGTAATGTAATTTAAAATAAAAATAAAAAAATATTATTGAGTGAAGAAAGAAATTAATAACCAAAAGACATTCATTCTGCGTAAGAAAATATTTTTACAATAATGAGTAATTATTATAGTTGTCATTATTCGATTAATTATTAATCACAAAATGTTTCACTTGGCTCGGCCGGCGAGTAGTGGTGCGCGCAAAGTAGCGACCGACTCCCTCCTTCATTTGCCTTAAGCCTCGCTACATACTCATTCTCTTTATAACACTTCAAATGAGGGGTACCTCGCCGGTACCTCATAAGGTAAAAGGAGGTTCTCACTCATCCCCAATAAAAAGGTGTGAGTAACACAACACTAACGGAGTAAACTCAATTTTGAAACAAATTTACAATAAGTCCTATTGGACAAAAATCGAAATTAAAAGATATGATTATGAATATAATTTGTCTGTTGTACAATTGAGAACCTTCTTTATATTTGATGTCAGTTACAATTATTGGAAAAGTGAAATCTGAGATTCAGTTGTGTTTTTATGAAGTTTGTGGTTACATTAGACAGTTAGCTGCTGTATTATGAATATAAAACTTTTTCCTTATATCATACTCAGTATCGCAGAGTTCAGGCAAACAAAACCGTTTCTGGTTATTCATGAGAGTTGTTCGCCTTTTTTATGCTAATGGAACCGGAATGATAATCTTTCTTCAACACAAGTACCCTTATACTATGTTCTCCTAATTCGTGACTTCGCAACATTAGCTTCATCATAAATCTAGTCCAGCAAAAACAAACGAGTATTTTAATGTAAGGGTTGCGTTACTGCTGGTCTCGTAAGTGCTCATCCCTCACATACTCGTTTGAGCCGCTTGTTTTCTAGGCCGGCCACTACAAAAATCATGAGCTTACTAAGATTTATGATATTACTTTTGTTTGGTTACGTAATATCTGATATTGTGTAAGTATTTTTCAAATGAACAAAGTTTCTCTGTTGGGGTATTACAGAAATTGATTTATAAGAAAACTTAATTTACACTTTATGCAATGATGTGTTTAAGAAATAAAGATTCCTTAAAAAATACTTAGTCGGAGCACTTTTGTATAGAAGCGCGCGGGCGTGTCGGCTAAACGCAGTTTAGGCCGTTATATATATTTTTTAATAAATGTGTAATATGAATTTAAAAACATTTATTTATTATTGACTAGTATTAAATATAGTTTTCTTCTTAACATTTCTATCTCAAAATGAACACCCTCGCTAACGTGATAATAATTTTGTAAGATATCAAAGAAAATGAACTCGTCTAGAGAGTTATACATAATTCAATCTTGATCGATTGAGATTCATCAAAAGAACACTTTAGTTAATAAAAGAGATTCGAGTTGATGTGAAAGCAGTTTGTTGGTTTGTAAATGATCGGAAAGTGGCTTTCCTAAGGGCGGTGTTTTACTGAAAAAAATTGTGGAATAAACAGTTTATTGAGGCAGTAAATAAAATGATTTTCATTTTACCATCGTGCTACGATACCAATTCGTTTCGCTAATTTAACTGAAGTTGGAAAATTTTAGAATACGTAATATAGGACGTTAACAGCGCCTGCACAGAGGATCAAAAAAGTAATAACAAAATATGATGGTAATAAATTTTATTCTGTACAAATTTAGTTAATTCGTGTATTATTATTGAACGTTTACTATGTGGTGTTGTAAGTTTGAAAATTATTGCTATAGTAAATATATGGAAACTATTTAAGTTGCAGGATACAAATTCATGCCGATTAGATGTGTGGGCAGCCTTATGGCAGTCTCATATCAGACCGTCACACACATGGTGTCGGGAAAAATTACGAATATAATCGATAAGAATGACGAAACGAATCTGTGTCGTATTGAAATTATTTAAAAAACATTTTTTATTGAATTACCATGTACCATTTTTGTTAGGATATTGGATTACGATTTAATTAGATGTTATCCTAAACTCTTATTATATATTCGTTTTATTTTATTCTGAACAAACTCAGTTAATTGCTACATAACTCTAACTTGTTTCAAAAGTTCAATATTTAAAATAGAGCTACCAGCTCGTATGAATACGTTCATATAATGATTGAGCAATGTTCGAGTCTGTAGTCAGGTTTATTTTTAGCTGAAGCTGTGTATTTTCATCTATTTGGAAAAATTTGCTGATTGGCAGAATGATTGACTGAAAATAACTAGTAAAGCAAGTAGTTCATGGAGGCAATAAATAATATAATCGTGTTGAGTACTGTGACTTTAACATTTAACTTCATTAGTCAGATTGTAGCAGTAAATAACTTCGAAACGGTTTATCAAATAACTTCGAAACTGGCATGATTTATTATCATTATGTTACAGTACAAATACTGTAAATTATATACCAAATCAGATAAATTAATTAAGAATTATGACATCAATCAGAATCACGTATAATTATTTTAGGAAAATGTTATTTTCCTTTTCTCAGCTCGTTAAAAGATATAGACATACATTATTTAATAGTATGTATCTCTAAGTTTGAGGTGCTCGATGTTGCCGAAGTTAGTGCGTTCGGTTTGCGATGTGGACTATAAGCAACTTTGTTTGTTTATTTATGGGAATCTGTGTATATCACAGACAAGACGATCATCTTTTTGTTAATAGATTTTATTTGCGGTGTAATATTTATTTAAAGCTATAATTTGTACAATAAAATATATACGATAAGCGAATAATTTTTTCAAATAATATTTTGAACCGCAACATTTGTAATTAAAACAAAGATACGGTTAGCTGTAGAGAACTGCCAGCTCGTGCAATTCTATTTTCACATGTCTATCTATCATGTCTATCTATTTTATCTTTCTATGTGTGTATGGAAGTTCATAAGTATAAATATATAACAGGTTCTGTCAGAATATCAGCTTTGATACGGAATACGGAAGCTGAGGCGAGTTCTTGATCCTCTAGCCTGTTAATGTTTATTTTTACGCATTTAGGTATTGTTATTATGTAGTATTATTGTGTTTCTTTTATTTTATGTATTTAATCTTCTTTTTATAATTATTAATAATTAATTTGTCATTTATTTCAAGCATTGACACTCATATTCAGGTCAATAAAGCGTTCTTCTACAACAGAGAGGTTGGTATAACATAACTGTACTGTGTTATTCTAGCACGTTTTTGAGTAGAAAAGACAATATACTCTTTTGAGATACCAAACAATTTATCTATATATACATTTTCATTCTTCTGTTATCTCTTATTTATAGTACACATTAAAGTAAGTATCAGTATCAATGTTTTTCTTCTATCCCAATGAAATGTCAATTAAAATAATTGAAAAGAATAATGTAATAAAGCTGAAAGGATAAACCTGTGTTTACTGAATATTGATATTTTTCAAGGTGTAGGTAGTATTATTTGTGGGTACATACAGGATATAATCATCCAGAAATATTCTCACCATAGTGTGGCAAGCAATTGTAGCTGGTGGACAGTAGATGCCGGCAGCGGCAGCGTGGCGGCGGGGCGCGGGGCGGCGGCGGCGGTGACGCCGACGGCGAGGGCGACCACCAGCCCGGCTCCATCAGCCGGCCATGCCACCCGCACCCGCACCCGCGCCCGCGCTACCTGCACAATATAATATTATATTTATAACTTGTACGAATTAACATGACACCAGGGGTGTGCCCGCCTAACTCACTAGTCTCTATTTTAGCCATAGGACACGACAATTTATCGATGTTATAGCGATATTTCGTTTTATATTACTACTTTGACATGTCTTATGGTGGTTTAATTTGGGATAAATAACTAAGTTGGCAACACTGTTATCAAATCCTTAATCATCATTCTTTATCGTTCGTTCGTCTTTACTAAAGTAGATGTAAAAGTAGTAAAATTAAATGAAATGCGAAGATGTCATATCCTATGGCTAGGATCAAGAGTTAGGCGGTCGCACCCATTTATCCCGTCCTTTTTGTTCTCGAATAAAAAATGGGTCTAATAGTTCTTATAATTTCGATAAATTATATCTATGAAGATTATCTGTGCATCAAGGCAGTCTCAGAACCTCCGTTGCATCATAAATTATAGAAAAATGGGTTCTTTGGAGTTATATTAGCGTTTCCAAAATAGACGTTGGTTTTCGTTTATTTTCTGGTATTACAACGTTATTCATCATCATTGCTTGATCTCCATAATCGTAGATCCATTGTTATATAGAAGTGATAATGAGGTGATGATTCGCCAGGAGGCGCTGAAATAGTAATAATTTTGCGAACACGTTGCATAGAAATTACATACTACGTTAAAATAAGTGACACTCATGCGTGGTGTACTCGTAAATGAAACTGAAGGCTATTTGTGCATACCAGCAGATTTTTTTAAGCTGTCTGTTATTTGCTTCGACTCGCTAATGTTTCATTTTGAATAAGATAATGATTATAATTATTTTTATAATGAAATATATAGTTCCCCGAAAGCGAAGGAATTTTTAAAATAGGTTCCGCCATTTTCAAGTTAGATTATCAGATCTTTCCTCCTTATAATATTAGCATAGACGAATGATGCTCAAACAAGAAGATGATTTCGATGTGAGAACATTTTTTTAGGTTTGTGGGTCTGGTAGGAAATATGTCACGTACTTAAATCAAAAAGAATGTAGGCTATTTCGCATGGTGGTAGATAACATACTGCAACTTTTATCGCCATGGGTCTCAAGGATAAGACTCCAGATAAAGATGCTTCGACACATTCGGCAAACTGCTTCACCATGATAAAAATGTGCCCTAAACTCGAGGATACAATTCACCAAGTAAAATCAAATTTAGGTAAGCACCGTTAGATATTCGAATGCTCCGGAGTAATACTTGCATAAAAACCGTCGCCGTCACTTAAGGAATAAGGAATGGAGATTTAGATCGAATGACAGCGCATCGTCTCGCCCGCAGCCAGTCTCACGCCATGTTATCTCACAAGAATAAATATATCTGTGTCAGTACCGAACACAGGAGAATTGAAAATCATTATTAATGGTCTCAACACCTGTTTATTATATTGTCATTTTATGTACCTTCACCTTCGAGATACACCTTCGAGAGTTTTATCATATTCATTACAAATAAGTCCTTTATTCGTTGTCATATATAAACTATCCTTTTATTATTGAAATGTTGATAGCAAATAAATATTACCAATCATATGGGACATATAACCCCTATATTATCTTCAGTACAGAAATCATTTTGGGCTTTCAAATCAAATGTAAAGAGAATATTGACATTGGTACGACATCGTGAATAGGGTATCCATTTCCGTAATCCGCTCAATCAACACACGTTCTCAATTTCCTTGTGTACTCAGCCTTTGTGGCTGCACTCACCATCAAATTAGGGTATTATTCTTTATCGCGCATCGTTCGTTCTCCCGGTTTTATTGAAGCTCTAGCTACTGTGTTAGTGACTACGTTTCAGTAGACTTTAGATTGGAATGGATACTCGAGAAACATTTTAACGGGATAGCCTTCTAGTGTCGAGATTTGGTGTTAATATTATCAAAGCAATCGGTTATGCCGTTTACTGTTTAAATAAAGGGCTATCGAATGACAGCATATTTTTTTAATTTGCTAAATGAAAACCATTTTTATACTTTGGTTTACATTTTTCAAGTTTTTATTAAATCACTCACTCAATTTCTCAATAAGAAAAATGATCGAAATAAGCGAGAAGTTTTTACAATATTGTGTTCTTTTTTAAAAGTTACCCTCCTCAGTTCTATTGACAGGTCTGCTGTCGTAACCAGCTAGGTAAGTTATTATTTTATCGAAAACCACAGGTGCTGTTGTGTAAGTAATATAACCTACCAAATAATATAACTATTATATCTTATATTTTATAATGATGTTTAGAAATTGATTGTTTTTTTTTAATAAATATAACTCTTTATAATTTTAGGCTTTATAGACTGTAAGTTTAATCATAGAGCTTACTAAGCTACAAATTATATATTATATTTGATCAATTTCATTTTCACGATGCTACACTGATAAATATTCTTAATGAAAAATGCTTATAAAATCGCCTGGTTTGCGAAAGGTCATGGGTTCGAATCCCATTTCAAGGTGGCAGGTACCAATTATACCAATTGGGATTTTTAAATTTTTTGAGAAACAATATTATTTCAAGGTTTATACGATAACATTACGAAAATTTCTAAGATCCTCATTCTTGTTTGGCTACAGTAACTTTTAGATAGAACTTGATATTTATATTTCTTAAGAATCTCTAGGACTGGGAAACCATTATAAATTTAAATGTTTTTTTTTTATCACAACACCTCGATATTCTTAGAAATGCAATTTGTTCGAGCTCTGGTATGAGAGCGTCGTTGAAAAACCTCTCCTGCTTTAATGAATTCCTAATCGCTATGCAGGGGCAAGTGAAGTGAAGCCAAATGGTAATTATACGACACATTAGGAACCGGATAATTAGAGCTTTCAAAGAATCACTTGGCGATTAACAGAGAGTAAGAAATGTTAATAAATTAAAAAGATAAAACAGGGTTCATTTAATTATTACTTGTTAAGAGATATTTGTTGCCGGAGGGAGTATAAATCAGAGCAAACAGAAATGTTCCGGAAGTTTAAGGAAAATGATAAAGCTTTCAATTATATACACACCAGTATTAAAGAGGACTTTTAATGCAAATCCGCAATATAGTCAAATTAAACTTTGTTTCTAGTAAGTTTTGAAATTTGTAATGATTCTTTGTTTGGGTACAAGTGGATTGTTTATATTATTATATTTCAGTCTATAGTCTAAAGTGGACGTCCACTGTGTAAACACGCATGCAACGGAAACAAGTAACGAATAGTACCTGTATGGAAGTAATTCGTATGACGTTATAGACACGCATCACATTTTTGCTGATATACCTAATGCGTCTAAATTATAATACTTACTTATAAATATTAAATTGGTACGACCGGTACGTCTAGTGGACGGATTGCTATATAAATACATAAAAAGAAAAATCCGATGTATTTTGTGCGTCTGTCATGTGCGTGCATAAAAAGTGGAGGATCGCCTTCAATGACAATAAAAATAATTTACCTTGTGCAAGCGCACCTCTCCACGCCTTCGCTTACGCTGTACACGCTGCCGCGTCGCATCCGCCTCTTATAAACGAGGCTGTCACGCCTCTAGCGTCCTCATACCACCGTCGATCACTATTCTTGTCCACTCGGCATTTTAATATGTTCACTTCATTATTACTACTAAACTTTACCCATTATTGAAGTTTCACACAGCGCGTACGCGTCCCGCCTTCGCATCTATAGTCTATGTTCCCACTAAAGCTTCTACGCGTTTTAATTTTGACTACATAACACTGAGCTAATTTGCCACATAGTTTGTACAACAAGACTAAATATATTCACTATTATTTTTATTGAATATTTCAGTGAAGCGCCATTGTCATTGTTAACCTGAAAAGAAGGAGAAATAATTACAATGTTTATATCACTACAAATATTTCAGAATGATAAGATTAAACTTAAGTTACAAGAGATGATACAAGGGCTTTTTTTTATTACCATGCTCATATAATTAATATTCACATAGTAAAACTGATTTTTATTGATAATAAATAATAATGGCACTCTTATATGTTATCTGCCCCCAATTCTAACAGAAGATGGTTGTTGTTATTCGAACTGGTGCCTATATTTCAAGACATCGACCCAATGAAAAGGCAAATTGCTTGAAAGCCAATTAATTTGAGTATCCTCCAATTAGATTCTGATCAATCGCACTTCAAATTATTTATTTTTTTTGTTTGTTTTTCGACAAATGATTTCTTTGTAAGTCGGTGTCGTTATTAAAATTTCTTAATTTAAAACATTGATATCCTATGTTTAAATTGTTTATAGTAAAAAAGGTACATATTTAATTTTATTTATTTAATAATCCTTTATTGCAAAGAACAGCAAATGGCGGACTTAATATCTAGGAGAACCAGACAGCATGTAGCAAGCAAAATTTATTATTATAAGTGTGAGTAACTATCCTTAATATATGCTTTCGATACAGTTTTTTTTTTTTGCATCTTAGAGGATGTAAAAGCATTAATGCAGTTATCATTGAATGAGATAATAAAATATTTAATAAGTATACAAAAGTTTTAATAAGCAAAATAAGAACAAAGACTCTGAATCATTAATTGTTCCATAAAGGGAAATCCAATCCTTAACAATAATTAGGAAACTTGAACTGACTGACTTACTTTATTGTAAAACACTTATAATGATGAAAATTTGGTAATAAGTAACAAAATGGTGGAGGATTTGTATTTGATGACATCATTGAAATATTTAAATAATATAAAGTATTTGCATGGCAAAGCTGTTGTATGTTAAAGTCTTTTAATTAGTTAGTCTAGCTACAAAGTAGTAATTTTCGAGAAGTTATAAAGTAAGGCTTTCAGCAAATTCAGTACAATTAAAATAAGTTCATTACTTTCATTGATGGTTAAATAATAAGTGAAGATTTCTTCGTAACTCTAAATAACTACAAAAGTTTATAATAAGTTGTTTTAAAGTATTATATACGTATCAACATTATATTCTATTTGTGTGTCTGTCCGTGGTCTGTTCTCTGCTTAGTCTACGGATGGTTTGCATATATTGGTAGCAATTCCGTTTTACAAAACAGATTAAATTTAGGTTTAGTTCTGTCAAACCACGTTTTGAATTGTAAAAAATAATTGAGATAACAGAGGTAATTTTATTGTTAATATTATTGTCATAGATAAATAGACTCTTTGTTGCTCACACATAGTAAGAAAAGTTAACATTAGATTTCTTGAATTTATAGTAATATAGTAATATACCTTGAATTTATAGTAATTATACGCGTAAAATACACTCAAATTAAAATTTTACTTTCAGTTTATTTAGAGAATTGTATGTACGTACAACAGAATCAGCACAAATGTCTCATTAATATTGATTGATTGCATACATCGTGCAGGTGATTTCTGTGCCTACTTTCAATGATCAGCTATTGGCTTATCGACTGAAATAAGCTCAAAGAAATCACCTGCGCTACGCATACGTGCGCGAGTCGAAAGTTTATCAATGTAAATGAGTCATAATATAACTAGCCACAGGTTGCAGGGATACGATGGAATGAATTTTGTAGCTTGGTCCGAAGAACAAGGTAAGTTAAATCGATAACAAGCGATCAGCGATAGCACACGTAGACAATCTTAATGGAAATAAAAGTAGGCAACTACTTTTTAAAATTCCTTGATAAGTGTCAGAAGATATTAAAATAATATTATTTATCATTTCAAGTAAAATACGCTAACGTTTTCATCCTACTTCTATTCTATACGTATACTTTGTTTAGGTACTGTTATTGTATTATTATTATTATTTTTTATGTATATTTATGTACGAGCTTGTGTGTAATCAGTTGACAGCACTTTACTAAAACTAGGAATTTTTGCCATGTGAAATGTTAAAAAACTAAAGTTATTGACAATAATCAGTTGAGATTTTGTATTTTTCTCAATTCGAAAAACGGCCGTTATATAAAGAGGCTGGCAAAGCTGTTTCCAACAATGTTTGATTACTTCTTTTAGAAAAAAATCTTAAAAAGTCTGTCGTATTGGTGAGCGTTAACGACTGCTCAACTAATGTCTTAACGTTAACATAACGTAAATTTTTGGTTACCTATCAAATGGTATTTTTTTTACAGAAATTGCTAACATCTGTTATTGCACACGTAGTAGCGGATATTACATAAAACTAAAAAACATAAAGAATGGAAAAAAGAACCTAATTCTACTGCTCATATTGTATAAAATCACAATACTTATCTTACCAATTTTTTCCGCATTTATTTATACCACCTACAAATACGATACGAACATAAATCTGTCAGAGGAAAACAATAGGAAATATTTTATTCATAAACGATTACGGCTCTAAATTCACGCAAGAACGAAATTATTTTATCAGTCGTAAATAATATGACTTATTTAAAAATACAGTGAAAAAAATACAATGGGAAATCTATTTCTGTATAAATCTACATTTCCAGGCAAAGGTTTTTGTTAAATAAAATGAGTGTAAATAGGTATTTTATTTTGTTTACGTGATTATTTTATTCAATTTTCACAAAGAAACTAACAGATTTCAAGGACGGAACTCTATTTTCCGGTTGAACGTCCTACGGAAGTGGAATATGAAATAGGGCATGAAGGTTTTCGCACATCAAAAACACCTCACTACTTACTACCTACTATATCACACAATGCTTCAGTTGAGATGGCAAAAGTTACATAATATAAACGCTCAGAAAATGAAGCACTTTTTTTCTGATCGTAACATTATTTGCACAACGTCGAAATCGTTATACCTGCTTAAGATTTAAACTTATAATAGAGATAGACAAATATTTGTGTGATAATCCAGAATATTTTCCACAAGCAAATTATTGAATACATTACATCAATTGAGGTATTGAAATATTTCATACTTTGCAATTATAATTTAAAAAAATTAAGGACATTATATACAATATTGAAGAATTAATTTTAACTCAGTTGTGTATAGGGATGATGACTATTTTTTTTATCAGGTAGACTATTGAATAAAATTAAATACGATTTTTTTGCTTTGCATTTAATTAACAATGGTGATACATTAAATTAAAATATCGCATGATGTCATGCTTTTGTACGTGGTCTTGCGTACCTATCTATGAAAAATAAACCGCATCAAAATCCGTTGCGTAGTTTTAAAGATTTAAGCATACATAGGGATATAGGGTAAAGAAAGCGACTTTGTTTTATACGATGTAGTGATAGTGAAGACGTAAATGTCTGATGAACTCCGAAGCACATTTATTTTTTTCTATTTTCTAGAGGCCAAACAGAAAGTACGCATTTTTGCTCTACGTCTACATGACTATATATTTAGTGTCGTAGTATTTTATGCTCAGTTGTAACGTACATGTGTAAAGAATGATTTAAATTGATATACAACGAAAAGTGGTATAAGTCCCGACTTATACCACTTTTCGTTGTATATCAATTTGGATCAATTCAATTGCGTGCTGTTAGAAGGTGATATTAGTAATCATAAAATCGGATAAACATGTATGAAAACAGTAAAGAGAGTGGAGGAGACGAATAAAGACCATGCCTTATGGCACTTGGTTTTCTCTGCCTACGTGAAAATATTAGTGAAATTTTACTGAGAACAAAAATACTGGCTCTCTAGATGGTAGCTTAGCAGTTCTTAATCATTTGCACAGTAGGGTTTGCACATATGTATAGTGGGTTAAACATACTACCTTTCCATATCGATATGTCTTCTGGAAAGTTTTTAGTTATTTTATTATGTGCAGGCGACCTATTTTCTAAAGAAAACTGAACACATGTTGAAGCCGCATAATATTAGAGCGCTGTTTGTCTCGAAACACTTGTTTGTGACGCAAGAAGACGTTGCCATTACGTACAAAGTGGACTAGAGCGATATTAAAATGTACGGGGGAGTAGTTTGCAACATTATTTTAATAAATCTATGTCAGAGTGACAAAGTAGGCGCGTTTACTTCATAATTTTACTTGTTTAATCAAACAATTCATGAATGAGCCCTAAAACGCATATGTTCTCATATTTTATAATTTTCGTAGTCACTAGTTTTTTATTATAATATGACCTTTAAGAACTGGCTCATCTGAAGACAAACGATAATATGACCTTCATATCCTTGATGTTACTAAAGGGAAAGATAGACATCGGATAAATTTTAACATTGTATATTTCACTGTAAATTATAGAAGCATTTATTTTTCTTTCGTTATTCCACTGATATTGGATAAAGGATAAAAGAGGTTACTATAATAATGTTAATTACACGATAAAATAAAACTACCTTTTACTTTATCTTGTAATTAACAATCATTCTAATGTTAATGACTAAATATTTTAAACAAAATAATGATATTTATTATTTTTTAGATGAAATGTTCAATTAACTCTCATATTAAACCATAGGAAAAATGTATGTACTACCTACTTCAAAACTTATCCTGTATTGTCAACTTATTTATGTTTTTTTTTTATCTTTTCTTATGAACAATAAAATGCGATCTGTTTGTACCGTGCCCAATCGCATATCGTGCGGAGTTCCTCAGTACGGCATGCGCAATATACATATGTCTATATATATATAATAAATATAGTACTATGATCTGTTAAGCGTTGGAGGAATTTAATTTGGAGCAGATAATAATTTTAGATTAACCCAAGAGCGGGTCAGGTCTTCCTCGGAGAGGATATCCTTAATAGAGTACAAACTTACGTCGTCGTGCATCATGTATAACTGAGTGTATTCGTGCCTGTAAGCTCCGAATCTGGGACACTCAATAAGCAGGTGCAGTGGAATCTGAGAAGTAACTGAGTCACATGGTT